CCTTTTTTTTTTTTTTTTTTTAAATTTCCTTTTTCCCCTTTGCCTTGACAGTACCTTGAGGCAATTGTTTATTGGTGTAAATATGGATTTTTTCACAACATATATCTCTACATTCTTGTATCTTTGGCTAAACGTAAAATTTGATGAGTATGTGATAGTAATACAGGATACATATAAGGCGGGAAAAGTGGTGTTTGGCAGCTTTGTAACTGACATAAGTTTAATAATTTAAACGAAAATAATTTATATGTTTACATAACACAAGTGGTTATTATTAATTTTATAAAAGATTGTCCTTAAAGACTTTTATAAAAAGTATTTTTACTGTTTTCTGAATTTTGATGCTATACAATTACTTCGATTTGTTTAGTTTTTAGTACTCATCAAACAAGAACACTAATGTTACTAGTATTTTCATTTGTTAACAAAAATAGCAAATCTCTAAATAACATAAAAGAATATTATTTCTCATGATAAAAAACAATAGATGAAATGAGCAACATCATAAAATATAAATATTTCAAAAAGTACTTTTGTCATACCCCTTTTTACCTTGCAAAATATATTATGTATTATTGTGTTGGGTTAAAGAGTTTTTCCAATTACAGTGACGATTTTGGATATGAATTATTTTATTGTTCAGAGTCGCCATTTGGAATTGAGTTTTGGTGTTCCAAGTTACCTTATTGAATCCCTAATCAAAAGGAAATTTGCTCTATTTATTATTGGTCTGCGAAAATAGGAGACCAGGTAAGAAATTCTGTTGATTGAGAGATGGTGTATGTCACGACCCGAAATTCTCACCTTCGGGACCGTGATGGCGCCTAACATTTCACTTGCTAGGCAAGCCAACGTTAGAATAATCTTAACCGCTTTTAAACAAATTAAATTAAACGGAAGTCAATTACTGAAATAAAGTGCAGAAGACCATAACTACCGAATCATCAATATACATCCCCGAATCTGGTGTCACAAATGCACGAGCTACTAGAATAATACAAATAAATATATGAATAAAATTCAAGTTGTTTGAAAGATAATACACAACTAAGATAAGATAGAAGGGGACTTCAGAACTGCGGACGCTGTGCAGTTATACCTCAAGTCTCCTCTGGGTACCTGAATCCGAACAAGTCTATGGTACACTGCTGGGACCAACTCCACAATTTGCACAAGAAGTGCATAGTGTAGTATGAGTACAACTAACCACATGTACTCCGTAAGTGTCGAGCCTAACCTCGATGAAGTAGTGACGAGGCTATGACAAGACACGTATGTAAAACACATGTACAAGTATATACAAATACGAAGCTACTATAACACAATAAATAACAATTTATAAATTTGGGAAGGAACATGCGAAGAGGGATGATATAGTAATTTCAGCAGGAGAAGTGTCACTTAGCAGCCAATTAATTCATTAACAAATAAATGAGCAGCTGAAAATATGAAATGAAACGGCACCACCCTTCGTGTTTTCGCTCTCATCCTTCCTATAAATTTATAAATAAATAATAAGATTGGTACGGCATCACCCTTCGTGCTTTAACTCTCTTCTGGCACGGCATGATCCTTCGTGCTTTAACTCTCTTCTGGCACGGCATCACTCTTCGTGCTTTTACACTATTTGAAAATGACACGGCATTATCTTTCGTGCTTTTACACTCTTTCTCACCATGGCAAGGATAATAATATAAATAATATAAATGGCACAGCATCACCCTTCGCACTTTTACACTCTTCCTTACCATGAAAATAATAATATAAATTCGGAAGAGTATTTAAGTGTGGGGATATATACTTATCAATCAATTCAATACTAGAATACCGACCTCACCTTTCAAAATATTCGACAATAATTAAACTAGCAATGATCTCATGAAAAATGATCAAATAAACAATAATAACTTAAGCAGGAATATCTTAATTAAATAGGTAATTATTCACAATAAATAAATTCCACCTGCATGCTTTGACTCAACTACAACGCATAAGTACTCGTCACCTCACATATACGGTGTACCCGCACATTAAATCACGTAGCAAATAGACAAATAAGTCTTACTCCTTCAAGTCAAGGTTAACCACGATACTTACCTCGATTTGCAACCAACTAAAGATTCCAATAAACCTTTTGCCTTGCAAATTGGAGTCCGAATGACTCAAATCTAGTCACAAACAATTCAATATACTCAACACGAATTATAGAAATCAATTCTATATGAAAATACTAAATTTTCTAATTAAAATCTAAAATTTAACTCAAAAATCGCTCGTGGGGCCCACGTCTCAGAACCCGACAAAATAAAATATAAACGTCCATTCAACCATGAGTCCAACCATATAAATTTTACCAAATTCCGACATCAACTCGGCCTTCAAATCCCAAAATCATATTTTCAAATCCCTAGTCCCAAATCCTCGAATTTCACCTCAAAAACATGTAATCTAGTCGGAATAATCAATGATAATTCAATATTATTGACTAAAAATGATCACAAGTGACTTACCTCAAGTTTTTCCATGAATTCTCGCTCAAAACTCGCCTCAACCCGTGTTGGAAATGTCCAAAATGACAAAAATATCGGAACCCTATGTTTTTGTAATATGTCCAATGCTTTCGCACCTGCGGACACTTAACCGTATCTGCGGTTCCGCTTTTTCGGAGATTGTGGTCGCTTCTGCTCACTTTTGTGATGAAGCGTCCGCTTCTGCAACAAGGTTGCCCCTTCCCTTTTCTGCTTCTGCGATGCGTGTGCCGCTTCTGTGATACCCCGTCCGCTTTTGCGGACCATCCGCTTCTGTGAGGCCAGGCTCGCTTCTGCGAGCTCGCACATGCGGTCAAAAATCCGCAGGTATGATTATACCAGAAGGCCAAAATTTTAGATTTTTTCTTGAGTCCAAATTTTGATCCGTTAACCATACGGAATCCATTCGAGGCCCCCGGGACCTCAACCAAATACACCAACAAGTCCTAAAACATCACATGAACTTAGTTGAAACCTCAAATCACATCAAATAACGCTAAAACCACGAATCATACCCCAATTTAAACTTAAGGAACTTAAGAATTTTTAACTTCTATATTTGATTCTGAAACATACAAATCAAGTCCGATTGACCTCAAATTTTACACACAAGTCATAAATGATATAACGGACCTATAAAAATTTTCAGAACTGGATTCCGACCCCGATATCAATAAAAGTTAATTTGTGGTCAAACTTTGAAATCTTTAAGCCTTTAAGCTTTTAGTTTTCGTCAACTGGCGATTATTCAAGCTAAGGACCTCCAAATTAAATTTCAGGCATACACCCAAGTTTCAAATGACGATACAGACCTACCAGAACTATCAAACCACTGATCCAGGTCCATTTGCTCAAAATATTGACCGAAGTCAACTTAAGTGAGTTTTAAAGCACTATTTCCCATTTTAATCAAATTTTCACATAAAAACTTTCCGAAAAAATTTACGGACAGTGTACACAAGTCGAGGAAAGCTAAATGGTGCTATTTGAGGTTTTAGAACACAGAAATAATTATTAAATTTAAATATGACATATTGGGTCATCACATTCTCCACCTCTAAAACAAACGTTCGTCCTCGAACGGAATTAGAAAATTACCTGAGCTGGTGAAAAGATGTTGATATCTACTCCGCATGTCCGAATCGGACTCTCAGGTAGATGCTTCTACCGGCTGACCTCTCTATTGCACCCGAACTGAAGGATAACTCTTAAACCTCAACTGTCGGACCTGCCGGGCTAGAATAGCTACCGGCTCCTCTTCATAAGTCAAATCTTTGTCCAATTGGACTGAGCTGAAATCTAATACATGGGATGGATCATCATGATATTTTCGGAGCATAGACACATGGAACACCAGATGAAGTGCTGATAAACTAGGTGGTAGTGCAAGCCTGTAGGCTACTTCACCCACCCTTTCAAGAATTTCAAAGGGTCCGATATACCTAGCACTCAACTTGCCCTTCTTTCAAAACCTTATTACACCCGTCATAGGTGAAACCCGGAGCAATACTCTTTCTCCAACCATGAATGCAATATCACAAACTTTACGGCCGGCATAACTCTTTTGCCTAGACTGAGCTGTGCGAAGTCGATCTTGAATAATCTTGACCTTATCTAAGGTATCCTGTACCAATTCGATACCCAACAACCGAGCCTCTCCTAGTTCAAACCAGCCAACTGGTGAATGCCATCGCCACCCGTATAATGCTTCATATGGAGCCATCTAAATGCTCGACTGGTAACTGTTATTAAAGGAAAACTCCGCAAGTGGCAAGTGCTGATCCCAAGAACCTCCAAAGTCTATAATACAAGCGCGGAGCATATCTTCCAATATCAGAATAGTACGCTTGGACTGTCCGTCTGTCTGGCATGAAATGTTGTACTCAACTCAACCCGCATTCCTAACTCACGCTGTACAGCCCTCCAGAAGTGCGAGGTGAACCGCTTACCTCGATCAGAAATGATAGACATGGGCATACCGTGAAGGTGGACAATCTCGCGGATGTAAATCTCCGCTAACCGCTCTAAAGAATAGGTAACTGCTACTGGAATGAAATGTGCTGACTTGGTCAACCTGTCCACAATGACCCATATTGCGTCTAACTTTCTCTAAGTCCGTGAGAGCCCAAAAAAAATCCATAGTGATACTCTCCCATTTCCACTCGGGAATTTCTAACTTCTGAAGCAAACCAACAGGTCTCTGATGCTCGTGCTTGACTTGCTGACAATTTAGACACCGAGCTACATATGCAACTATATCCTTCTTCATTCTCCTCCACCAATAATATTGACGCAAATCTTGATACATTTTGGCGACACC